CGAACACATGCTTGTTGATGTTTGTTGTTCATGATATTTGTGGTTCATGCTCTACATGTTTATAGTTGTTCATCCCACGTTTTCTTGACGACTCTTAGAAATGTTTCTTCACAGGTGCAGCTGCTGGTTGCTATTTTTATGTTGGTTTCCTAGTAGAATTAATTTTTCCTCCTAATTACTTGTTTATCCTCTATCAGCAGTCTTTATTCCAGATTGGTTCAGCATTTACATGCTGATGTGGCGATACATAACCCAAACCAATATTACTCAAGGGGAACCTCGTACACATTAACGCTCCTCTTGATAGAGCAAATCTGTTCAGCACATTCTGACAGACAGACCACCATTCTTCTGTCATGCTGCTGTACAGGACATTTTTAGTTGTTCTATTTAAAAATAAGTAGTATTACATTTAAAGAGCAATACTTTCACGTTATCATTTTCCTACACTTTGTTTACCTGTATTTTGTTGTTTTTCAATAAAGAATGACAAATTATTTAAGTTTGGTTTTTGTTGCACACAAATATCTACAAAGCTAATGTTTGCATAACAAGTATGATTGGGTTTTGAAATACGGCACTCTGTTTATTTTAGTAAGATTTTTAAACCAAGTAAAGTTAGTAAAGAACACATTTCTATTGGCTGCTAAGAAACTGTTGGGATTTAAAATGGGCCTGTTGTACAACTAACTTGTAAATGATTATTTCTCATTTTGTAGTCTTAACCAAAGAAATTCCAGTAATTGAGCAAAAACATTTATTTTTTGCACTACGTTTTATAACACAGGGCACAAAGTGTCGGCACATAAAAAAAAACTTAATAATAAACTGGGCCCAGAGAGCTGCAGAGTGAGTGCAACATTGTGGTTTGAAGGAGGAAAAGTTAAACAGTGTAATGGCTACAGATAAATTACATCATCAACACATTAGCTATAGCAGTCAGGGATATGTTTATCCTGTTTGCCTGAAAATAAATCTGTCATAAAGGCTAAATTCAAAAGCAGCGAGACTCCCACCTGGAAGTCTTTCACTGCTTTTGGAGCTGGCCTTTAAGACAATCGGCAATATTAGTTAAAAATATGTCATTTCCCCTATTTGTGAAATGAACTCTGTCTGACAAAAATATCCCTGGACTGTCATGTCTGATGTGAGGATGCACAACAACGGCACCATTTAAACTAGAAATAAAAGTAGCCATTACACTGTTGACGAACCTCCGGGCCTTCTCAATTTTGGCAGGTTTTACACCTGCCCTCCATCTACGCCTTTGGGTAATGGACGACATGATGATAGTCATATGAGGGTGGAGAAGGTGAAAACGGTGCAGGTCCTCCTTCATCATGTTGACCAGCTTCACACTGCTGACCACCCCCATGTCATTGCCGCCGCAGTGAATGATGAGGACATCAGGAGCTGCTCTTCCATGCCGGGAGTGAAAAAAGGGGAGAAGGTCTTTCCACCTCAGTCCGCCCCAACCAAACCAGGAGACACGGACGTCAGGGAGGCCAAGGTTGTGTCCGACAGTCTCTGCAGCTCTCTGGGCACCACGCCTCACGTAGCTGTCTCCAATGATACAAATGGCTATGGAGGAAAAAATAACAGGTTTGGCCTAGCTGTTTAAAGTACAAAACCATTCATGAAGTGGTCAAGACAAGTACTTGGTACTTACACTTGCTTTGTGTAGCTGACGTTGACACACAGGCTGCCATGGTGACCTTTTAACAGATCTAAGAAAAAAAATGTAATAAAAGAATGAAACTTAAAAACTCCCAGACCTCATGTCATATTTACTAATCAGCTATGGCTGATTTATTGTTTGGATCAGAGTGAGTTACACTAATTCTAATATATTTTTATTTCTATTATACATACATACTTTTTAACTGTTATTTTCACATGACTGTTATCAGGCTCTCTTGTTCTGGTTCTGATGATAATTCTGTGTCTTCCAGTAAGTTATCTTGTGCTTACTTCATCTGTATAATGTCTCTTTACTTTTGGTAAATTGTACTGAGTCCAGAATAAAGGCTAGTTGGCTGTACAAGATACAAACAAGTATTACGTTTTGGAAATATATGAAACACCGCCAGCATCTGTTAGAGCCTGTGGCGGGGTGCTGAGGGCCGGCTCCAGACCAGGAATGAGCTCTCCACGCCAGCCGGGAGTGTTTGAAACACCGCCATCCTCTCCTCTGCTGGCTGTTGTTCATTCTGTTATGGTTACCGGTGCTTGTGTTGCAATGTGAAACGCTTGGTCTCAGATTTTGTAAGAAAGATAATAAAATGTCCCCCCAAAATACGACTTAAATATATTTTCTCTTCTTCATGATACATTTAATGGCTGGTGCGACTCAGGAGTGATAGCGCCGAAAAAAACTACTGAAAACTTGCTCAAAGCAAAATGTTTTCATTACGGAAATAAATTATAAACTTACCGATTTAAAACTTTTTTAATACAGGTACTTCTCACGAACAGGCGCAGAAAACCTCCACCTAAACTCCGTGTAAGGTTCAGGTCGATGGGTGTTCCAGTTAGCTCCGGTTGGGTTGAAGCTAGGTGGCTACATCCGTTAGCTCGGCTCCCACCTCCGCTTTAGCATTGGGTTAGCCAGGGTTAGCTTCAGGTTAGCTCGTAGCTAGTTCGCCTGGGTGTCGTCACTCGAGCCCAGCCTTACAGCCCCACCCTCAGCGCCTCCTCTCTTCCCTTTTATGGAATTGTCTGGGCTGGACGGAACCTGTGACACGGTCAAAATGGCGGTGGTGGCCACCTCCCATTATAGACAACAAACGTGTTATTGAAGCCAATGGAAACCGTTTGTCCAGTATTTACAGTCTATGGTTGGGACCCATTTTTTGTAAGAACTAAATTAATATCAGATTCTGCCAATAAAAGGGCTCTAAAACAATTCATATGTAAATAGTTTGCATATTTAATGCAAAATCTAATTTTTCTGCTTTAGTGCTGCAACAAGGTTTTATTAATAATAAATTATTATACCTTTTGTTTTACTACAACATCGATAAGCTTCCTGTGCACAGATTATTAAGGATGTTTGTTTCAGCTGTGAGATTAGACGATAGGATCAATGAAAAAATAAGTTGTCCCACACTCCATGGAAACTTTCAGAGAATCCACAAATAGTGGCTTTCAAATGGTTTTGTTACTTTTTGCAAGTTTAGAAGAGCAGCAGATGAGACAGCATGTCTGATAATTTAGTTTTTCATCTGATAATATTAGAACATGTCAGTAATGTCTGAGGGGTTTTTACAAACACTGTATAACTAACACTACTGGACAGGGTATGGATTACACAGAGGCTTCTGGGGAGCCCAGTTATGGGGGGGGGGGGGGGGGGGGGCATTTTGCCTTGGCCCCCAAAATGTCTTGAAACGGCCCTTGGTGTGTGACTGAGTTTTGAATGTGATCTGAATTGTATCAGATGTATAAATATGACATGTGTAGAACTTATTGTTTTTTACTGGTAAAAAGGTGTAGTGGAGATAAATCTACCTACATTTTACTTTTCAACACTTTGTTTTGTTTTCTTGTTTTTATTGAACTATTTTCCTGTCCTGTCTGTCTCTCATCTTCCTGCATCTCCTCTAAACTCTCCAGAAAATCTGTTGCCTGGATTCTTACCTTTTCACCTCATCAGTTACTTTTGAGCAGATCAAAGGAATCTCCTGACCACAAAGCTCAGAGCGTGTTTTCGATGCTGCGTGAGGTGAAATCACCACAGCACAGGTGATGAGCTCCGCAGTAGCGAGCTTCAGGCACAAATAAGACAGAAAATAGAGAACATGTGCGGACATGAACGATCGTGTGCTAATTATAGTTTTTTGGTTGCGCCACTTTGAGAATGGACCGTGCGCTGGAAGCAGCTGCCTGGATCGCTGCGCAACAACGCAGCGCTGTGCCGCTCTCTGCTAAAAGAGTCCAAAAATGATATAATATAGAAAACTTTTTTCCGGCTCCCCTGATGTGTAGGATATTCAGCTCCCCCATAATTCGATCCCTGCTCCTGGATGAAAAGCCGGACATTTTCATCAATACAAGAACCCGCAGTCCGGACGCCCGGACAGAGAGTGAAAAGTGGTCATGTCCGGGGAAAACGGAACATACGGTCACCCTAGTTTAATATAAAGCGGGAAATTATAGATACAGTATTTTGCTCGTGCCCTGGGCCCTTTAGAGTTCGTGGGCCCTGGGCAATTGCCCAGTTAATCTGGCCTTGGGCGGAACCGGTTCGCAGCAGCGCAAGTCTGCCGGCTGTCCCTCGCGCTGATCTGACTTGCTCTGGCAACGGCGGGCGGGAAGGGGGGGGGGGTTTGGAAGAGTTGTGCGACACAACGAATCGATGACGCAATTCGTTGCCAACGCTTTTAGTAATCGATTTTCATCGAATTTATCGATTCGTTGTTGCAGCCCTACTGCACAGGGACCGATGGGGACAGACACCTTTAGGAGCTGCTTGTTAAAAAAAAAAAAACGTAACGATCACAGCTTCAATCGCAATAAAAAGCAAGTTTGGTCCAAGATAAACAGAAGTCTGCGGCAGCGCAGAGACCGCCCCCATACCCCCTTAATGCCGCCATCACCTAATCTTTTATAAAATTGCCACGATTGCACCACATTACCACCACGGTCTGATCTTATAAGTGACCTTTATCCTCCCCAGGGAGCCACAGCAAATCCCATTTTGCAAACGCTATGGTCCTGTAAAAACACCTATAGACGAGAAAGGCGGGATCTTCCTTGGACATCCTAGAATTCCAAATGACGCCAACCAGAACCTGAGGGCTGTTCCGCGAAGCTGTGCTCGTTGTCCCTGGCCCAATACCTGCATTGCAACCATCTATCGATCTGTTTCGTGTACCCGAATATCTCGCTGCAAGGCAACAGCTCTAACCACTGCGCCACCGTGCAGCCCGCTATTTTTAAATGTGCTTCATAAATAAATTGGTATGTAGCTTCAGGTGTGTGTTTGTGCTTCTCTGCAGGTATTGAGATCGCCAAAGCTCATGGAGCCAAATACAGACTGGGTCCAGAACTGGAGATATGGTGGGTGGAGAAGACTTAATGCTTGTAGTAATGGGTGTAGTACTCTCTACCCTGCTGCTAGTAACAGGTGAAGTACTCTCTACCCTGCTGCTAGTAACAGGTGTAGTACTCACCACCCTGCTAGTAGTAATGGGTGTAGTACTCTCTACCCTGCTAGTAGTAACGGGTGTAGTACTTTCTACCCTGCTCATAGTGACGTGTGTAGTATTCTCTACCCTGCTGGAAGTAAAGGTGTAGTATTCTCTACCCTGATGGTAGTAATGTGTGCAGTACTCTCTACCCTGCTGGAAGTAAAGGTGTAGTATTCTCTACCCTTCTGGTAGTAACGGTGTAGTACTCTCTACCCTGCTGGTAGTAATGGTGTAGTACTCTCTACCCTGCGGGTAGTAACGGGTGTAGTACTCCACCCTGATGGTAGTAACGGTTGTAGTATTCTCTACCCTGCTGGTAGTAAAGGTGTAGTATTCTACCCTGCTAGTAGTAACAGGTGTACTATAGTATAAAAATTACCCATCACAGTAAACTTTGACCTCGAGATCCCTGAACCCTCACCTTCAGTGCTGTAGCTCTGTAGCTAGTGTTCTAGGTGTGAATCATCGACGTATGTACTGGACAACTCCTGTCCATAGGCTCCAATTATAAGTTTTTGAACCAAAATGGGAGGTGGCCACCACCGCCATTTTGACCGTGTCACAGGTTCCGACAATTCCAAAAAAGGGAAACGGGGTGGAGCTGAGGCTGGGATCAAATGACGACACCTGTCGAACTGAAGCAACGTAGCTACAAGCTAACCCAAAGCTAACACGGAGGTGGGAGCTAAGCTAACGGAGGTAGCTACCTAGCTCCAACCGGATTTAACTGTGCACAACACCGGAGATTCTAAGTCAGAGATACACCGGGCTGACCACTGGGGAGAACCGGGTGGAACACATAGGTCTCCCGAGAGCTCCTCACAGCAGACAGGCACCGTTGTGGTCAGAGATGCAGCTGAAGGGAGGGAGTCCATACCGATAGTCGGAATCCAGCTCCACCAGCATGTTATATTTCAACCCATTTTCAAAAATGCAGCGTCATGTTAAATGCACAGGGGTCTCATTTATCAAACATTGCGTAGAATCCTTTCTAAAACTGTACTTAAGCTCAGCAAAAACATGTATTTACGCTAGGTAAGTTTGTGACCTATTAAACATGGAGTACGCACAGTTGCACGCAATCTCCGCTTCATAAATCAGAGACAGACGAGAATGTTTCTCAGCTGCATTTTAGTCACATCCCGCCCTCACCACGCCCACTTACTGCCATAAATAGTCAATGCAAAGTGCCTTGTGGATCATGCATATACATAAGCCGGCTGTTGCAGCGCTCCGCCAATGACATGGCGACCGTAGATCAAGGCAGATCAAGGAAGCGCAATTTCACAGAAGCAGAAGTTGAGGTACATGTGGGTGAGGTGGAGAAATGAAAGGAAGTGCTTTTGCAAAACAAATAAGAGAAATCCCACGGAGTGGCACGGCGTTGCTGAAGCCGTCAATGTTGTGAGTTCTTCAGAGAAATCTGTGGTGAATATAAAAAAAAATTATCCGATCAGGATTCGATCCCCAGACTCCCGGGTGAAAGTCACGCGCTCTAACCAGTCACCCAAACAGAGATCTCCCTTGTCCAAGTAGCCAGGACACATGATCAATCGGGTCACAGTGACAGGACACACACACAGTCACAGATGCATGATGTTCTGTCTCAATCTGCCCCCCTGCTGATATTCTGCATTCCTTATGTGCTTCAGGCTGTGTGTGTGTTGGCACGTGTGTGTGTGTGTGTGTGTGTGTGAGTGCACATGTGTGTGTGTGTTCGTGTGGGGGGTCTTGTTCTGTGTGAAAACGATGCAGTACAAGTGATAATGCTGCAGGATTTCATAGTTGTATCTTCTCAGCAGCAGCACTGCAGGTGCTCTCCATGTCCAACATGTGTGTAAGCCAGGTCCTTAGTCAACTTAATGTTGCGCACATTTTTCCGCTAAGTTTTCTTTCATAAATCCCAAAGTTTGCGTGGAAAGTTGCTTACGCAGTTTTCCGACCCCGTTTTGTGTGTAAGCAAGCTTGATAAATGAGGCCACTGGGTTTTACCCTATTACATTTAAATTTCATGGTTAAACAGTACATGTTAAAATCTAAGCTCAGCTCGACAGTGACCTAAAATACATAAATATAATTTTACATACCGAAAAAAATGAAGTGGAGACTCCTTGGACGCTCTATTAGTGCAATTAATACCACAGCAAGTCATTTTGTCCAACTATTGCACAAAAAATATCCAAAAGAGAACACACAAACGCTACAACTAATGGTCTAAGTTTAGAGACTAAAAACGGCGAAACAGTTTCCAAGCCAGACCGAGGCTCTACTGAGGCCTTTCCCCGGAGCTAGCTCTGCGGTCACGTGGGTCTGATGCTCATTAATTATACAGAATTTTAGGCATTAAATAAAACAGAAGAGTGACAAAAAGTCCACCCCCCTCAGAGTTGTCATGAGTGTAAACTAGATCTATTAAACAAAAAACATGTTTTGGTACCAGGCTGTAAACATGTTTATTTCTGCTGTGAAATTGGTATTTTTAACATGGGAGTCAATGAGGCTCGCTTCTGACACCAGCTCCTAGTGGATGAGGGTGGAACTGCAATTCATTTCACTTCCTGTTTTGCTTCATATCCAGACCCAAATTATGGGGGCTTGGTGTGAACGCTCGGGGTTCTTTTCTCCTCATGAGCCTCCACTATCAGCCCTGCCCCCAGGCTCTGATGGGCTCAGAACTGTTGCCTTTCCCCAGTCACCAGCACCCATCTGCCCTGATTGGACAGGGTGATGCTGAGCGTATGACAGCTATGTAGTGCCAAGGTCCTCTTCACTACCTGGTGATTCTGTTCCAGCTTCATTATTTATCTGCATGAGGAGTGTAGTATGTGTATGAATGCATCCAGGAAGTGATCACTCTGCTGATAACACAGCTGCTCCGCACCAATCTGGGAAGGGTCAGAGGTCATTCGTCCATGCTCGTGTACCCACAGGCTCCCTTCATGCTTTTGGGAATTGATACTGAACTTAGGGAAGAGAAGGATCTCAGACGTATTTAAATGAAAAAGACACTGCAGATTGTGTTAATCCTATCAGCAGGAACAGCTGATCCCAGCTGTCAGCACGGAGGTGGACAGCTGATGATTTGGGCTGGTTCTGCAGCTTCAGGTCTCACTGGGTCCACCAGGAAGTACTCTGGACACCAAAGTGTTGTAGAGTCTAATGTGGGCCTATAAGCCAGCTAGATCAAACCAGGTCATGAAACAAAACCATGACCCAAAATTAGCAGCAGGTCATCAACAGAACAGCTGGAAAAGAGTGAAGGTTCTGTGATGATCCAGTCAGTCCAGACCTGGACCTGAGATTGGGGTTGGACCTTCAGAGCTGAAACTACCAGCCTCAGAGAACAGAAATAATGTTGGAATAATAATTGGACCAGAACTCCTCCAGAACCATGCAACATTCTGATAAAGTTCAACAGAAGAGGAGTGAGTCCACTGGGTCATGGGTTGGACCAAGTTCTCAGTTATTGTGCTGGTAGTTCACCGTGCTGTCAAGTTATGATCACTGTCCTTTAGAATCTGATCAGAACCAGATGATGTCATTAGTGGTGTGGTGTGAAGTACTTAACCTGATGATCTGTGTTGGACCAACCTCACAGCTCCCATCTTCTTCTCTATGGTCTTCCTTTGACAGCGGGTACGGCTGTGCGGACCACTTCTACGAGTCAGACACACTGCTGCACAGCCTTCAGGTCCTGAAGGCTCTGCTGGAAGCTCCAGCTGCTCAGGACATCATCTGTGATGTTGGGATGTGAGTGGCACCTTCACGCAGTCAGTCAGTGTTCAGCACCAGGAATTTTCTGGGTTTACTGCACATTGTGAGGTTTGAATGTAGAGGATGTCTCTGACCTCACCTTTTGTAAAATGAATGAGTGAATGAATGAATGAATGAATACTGATGCAGAGCAGGATCAGAAGGGATTAGAGAACTCATCACATCTATAATCCATCTGTTAGTTCTGTTCTTACACAGCTCAGTAAAAGTTACTTGTTAGCGTCACTTCCTTTTGCCGGCGGGCGGCAGAGGACGGTGTCGCCCTCTGCCGCCCGCGTCCTCCTTGCTGATGACACATCCCATGAGTGGATGTGTGTGTTCATTCGTCTCTGTGCATGGTCCTGTGTGCATGCCTCCTCATCTCTACTGCTTCTTTGACCTGTCTTTTATGTTTGGTTGCCCTGTGTTTGTGGTCCGTGTAGCTTCCCATTCCGTTTCATGGTTTTCCCTTGTGCAGTGGTTTGTTACGGCTGATTTCTTTATTGTACTTTCTGATTTTTGTTTGGCTGCTCCTGTATATCTTTGGTTTGTTTCCTTCTATCTCTTCTATGCTCTTGAGTTTAGTTGGCGTCCGGCTTCCCTTATGTATGTTTTATTACAGGGTTTGCACGGTATTTCTATACGACTCCACATGTTTTCTCTGCTGGTCTTTTCTTTTGGGCGTACTAATCTTTCTGACCGTCATGTATGGTTTTGTTGGTGTGTTGATATGTTTTTTTTTCGTTGTTATTATTTTATATGGAAGGGTTATTACTGGTTTTGGTTCTGGTCTTTCTGAGGGTCTGGTTCTGTGCTTTACATCTGACTGCCGTTTGGTGTTCCCCGCAGGCCCATCATGCATCACAACGTGCGCTATAACTGCCGCGTCCTGTTTCTTAACAGGTGCGTGTTTTGCACCTTTTCATGAGTACGGACCAAACACCTTTCTTACTCTGTGTGGTCTTTGTTCTGCAGAAAGATTCTTCTCATCAGACCTAAGATGCTGATGGCCAACTCTGGCATCTACAGAGAGATGCGCTGGTTCACAGCGTGGGACCGTTTAAGGTCAGTCAGCACATGCTCCGTTTCCCAGAACCACCACAGATCACAAACCTTTGGGACCGTTAGGGAATGCTAAAGAACAAAGCTTTTAGTCGTCCCAGCATTTCTGTGCAGGAGTACATTAAAACCAGAGCTGGGATGCTCAGGGGGGATCTCACTCCCCACAGTGTTTAAAACTCAGCAGGATACCAATCGTCCAGCGCAGTATGGGTGATGTGTAGAAAAGCCTAGGTAGATGTTACCCAACGATCAGGATGTAGGGTTACCATAAAATATCATCATTTAGTCTCCAGCCTACCAGAAACAATAACGTCTCTTTATTTGATGGTTTGATCTGAAGGCATGTGGAGGAGTACTTCCTGCCCCGAATGATCCAGGAGGTGACTGGTCAGGTAAACGTTCTCAATATGAAGAAAATCAAGCGATGATTGAATCTGTTTCATCTTGAATTTGAAGCTCACACATAGAAAAGTCTCAATTCTGATTCCTTCAGCTGGAGGAATGACTAACACAACAGTCTTCTCTCTGTCCCTCAGGACACCGTCCCGTTTGGTGACTGTGTCCTGTCAACCAAGGACACTTGCATCGGTACGGAGATCTGTGCAGAGCTCTGGAGTCCCAACAGGTACAGCAAATGGGGATCATAAGAATCTACAGCAATGAAATGGGCAGCTGTGATGAATATAACCAAAACAGGGCCAGGTCCGTTTTCTTTCCTGTCATTTTTTTTTTTTTTGTTTACATTTCAGCTCCAACATTACAAGTAAAACTTAAATCATGTAGTAATGTTCAGCTTGAGCTGGCATTAGGGCTGCAAAGCCCTCAGATGTGTCGTTCTTCCTGTGAGCGTGAGCTAAAACAACACAATCACACGTGCGATGAGGAGCTGACTCACTCAATAAAAACAAATAGTAAGCCTTATTGGCAACCCTTTATAATAATGTTTTGTTATTAAAAAACTACCTGAAATGGGTTAATGAATGAGGGGATTTTCTTTACGTTTCACCAATATTTAAAGGTGTGGAACACTGAAAAAACACTGAATATTTCTGATTATAATCAGTCACTGTGAGGAAAGCTGAAGATAGTCTCCTACACCTATCTCCTGCATTAGCTTCTGATTGAAAATAGATGGTCAACACTAGGGTTAGGGCTGCAGGGATGCCATTATTAGCTTCTAGTATGATGTGTTTCAGGTACAGTGGGTACGGAAATTATTCAAACCCCCGTCAATTTTCAAAATCGATTTTATTGTCACTAGTGTGCACAACACATGCACGGATTATACGAAGGGGCGTGGCATTGTACAAGGTGTGATCGGTTGCCCAAGTCCCTTTTCATCAGCGCGGTGCTAACAGAGTGGGGGTGAATGGCACGTACGTTTAGGAGGCCACTCGAGATGCTGGTGGTTAAAAACAGCCTTTATTTGAGGAATTATTTCATTAATATGGTCACTTCTGCCTTTGATTTCCTTGTCACACACACACACACACACACACACACACACACACACACACACACACACACACACACACACACACACACACACACACACACACAGTGGGCTGTTTATTCACTACGGTTCTGCCTCTCTTCTGGTGGTGGTTAAAAACAGCGTTTATTTGAGGAATTATATCATTTAATGTAGGGTGACCATTTTTCCATGTGGACACGGATCTGTCTACCGATGACATCACCCTATGGCAATGCCACACAAACCACGTTGGGACCCATAGTGTTAGAGCTAACATTAATATCAGATTCTGCCAACAAAACGGCTCTAAAACTATTCATATGTAAGTATTTTGCATGTTTATTGCAAAATCCCCTTTTTCTGCTGCTTTAGTGCTGCAGCAACATTATATTAATAAGAAATTATTATACCTTTTGTTTTACTACAGCATCGTTAAAGCTTCCTGTGCACAGATTATTAGCAGAAATCAGCAGCTGAGATGGAAACACCTGGGACCAAGAGGAGCCGTCCTCATGACTCGCCTAAGGCCTCATCTCCCCGTAAGGACATATTAGAATTATTAGGTTCTATTGATAAACGGCTTCTGGGATTTGAGGGGCGACTCCGTCGGTCTCTGGAAATCAGCCAGAAGCAGGTGGAGCGGCTCGCTGCTGAGAACGCGTCTCTGTGGGAGTCCTTTTCTTCCCTGGAAGAGGGAGTGAAGCGGATCACCCAGGACAACAAGATTCTGAAGGAGACGGTTTTGGACCTTCAGGCCCGTAGCATGAGAGATAATTTGGTGTTCGCAGGCCTGCCGGAGCAGACGGGAGGGGCGGAGAACTGCGAGCGAAAAATCAAGAACTTTCTCCAGACCCAAATGAAGATACCCGAAGAAACGGTAAAAAACATCACCTATCATCGGGTACATTGCCTTGGAGCTAAAAGAGTGGACAGCAGAAGACCACGTCCCATCATGGCTAAATTTAAACATTTTAAGCAGACTGTTCTTGTTAAAAGCCATGGAAGAGAGCTCAAAGAAAAAGACTTATACGTGAATGACCGGTTTCCTAAGGAAATCCTGGATCGGTGGCGAGTCCTCTTCCCGCTGCGTAAAAAGTTTATCCAGGATGGGAAGAGGGCTGTCATCTCGGTGGATAAGCTTTATGTGGACAGCAAACTTTACAAGAAGCGAGGAGTGACTGACTGGCTGTATTAGCCCAACATCAGGTCAGACATTTATAATTCTTGTCAGGATTCACTGGGTTTGAGCACGTCAGGATTAAATAGCTGCTAGATCCGTGTTCACACACACACACGCACGCACACACACACACACACACACACACACACACACACACACACACACACACACACACACACACACACACACATTAAATCTACAGCACAGTTTTATCACAATTAATGCATCTCATAGTACAACCACAAACACAGCTGGGTTTTTATTATTATTATTCTTGTTTATTTTCCGTTATTTATTAACATATTATTTTATACATTTAGTTACTTATTCCATCTTATTCACATGAAGGCGTCATATTCTAGCTACTCACATACATCTACGGGTGCACTAAGGTTTGTCTCATGGAACGTACATGGAGCTGGCTCCAGAGAGAAGAGATAAAAAATTTTTTTGATCAGTTACAAAGAGTGCTAGCAGCCATAATATTATTACAAGAGACTCATAGATCTGCCACATCTGCAGATGAACTTAAAACACCTGAGTTTCCCAGCATGGTCTCTGCCTGCTATAACTCTAGGCAATGAGTTGTAGCTAGTTTAATACACAAAAACATCAATATTATAACACTAAAAATATCGATACAGAACCAATGCTTATGTATCGTCAGCATATACTGTCCAAATATTGATGACCCTTCATTCTTTCATAATTTTTTCTCTGTACTCTCCGAACACTTGGACTGTCCACTTATACTTGGAGGCGATTTAAAATTTTGGATGCGTACTTTAACAGACAGGCTCAGTACAACTGGGACTCAGCGCAATTGGCAATCCACTAACATAGTTAAACAGTACATGAGTGATTATGGGCTTTGTGATGCATGGCGATCTCTTCATCCTAACCGTAGAGAGTATACTTTTTTCTCACACGTCCATCACTCCCATTCACATTTGGATTATTTTCTAGTCAGCAAAGAGCTCACAAAACACGGCAAAAACAGTCATGAATTTGTTCGTTTAGCACAACGTCTAAACAAACTAATTCCTGACTGTTTTTGCCGTGTTTTGTGAGCTACAGGCTAGTTAGAAGTCAGCAATGCCATTTTACCCAGAATATTGGGTCTCCCCTTTGGAACCCCGTAGAGTTTGAGGTACCACGTGGGCACAATAAAACGCAACACCACACAATTCTATTGACTCAGAGGTTTAAGGCGTCATTTGAATGACACAAATCGACCAATGGCATCCTGAGTTCTACTACAGCATAACGCGCCATTGGCCAACTAGACCTGTAGAAGCTTTTACGTGCGGAACACATGACGCACAAGAGAGTGTCTACCTGCAGCACCGGTTCTTTCCCACTTGTAGTTATACTGACGAGAGGATCATTTAGGATTGTTTCTTGGTTTTTTCCACACCTCTGTTTTGCAATGGCTGTCAAAAACAAGAAGTTTTTTTTTTACCACTGAGGTTTTGGACATATAAGCTTCCGATGGCAGTGCTGATCTGTGTCCGGAAGATTCAGCATCTGACGAAGGGGATCTAGTCTTTTCAGAATATGACAACCGTGATCTGGATTTAGAGTTTTCACGATAGCCGGTGTACCGGTAAACCCCGGTAAAAAAGTTGACAATAATAATAACCGTCTTGTCTTTAAAAAAAAATTATCTCAGTGGATTACTGTGGCTGCGGTGTAGGCGCGGTGACCCTTACCAGCCACCGTATCATCTGCTGAAGTTGCCGACGGCACATGCCCACTTTGTTGTTTACAACCAAAACTTTCTTGAAGCTAAAGCTGGAATAATGGCCAAAGGAGGAGACGGCCGCACTCAAGACATTTTTTATCCCTCAAAGAAGACAAAGTCGGAAGTATGGGCGTTTTTGGGATATTTGAAGAATGCTGAGGGACAGTTGATAGAAGACGGCTATCCTGTTTGCAGCACGTGCAGAAAAAGTGTCTTTGAAAGGCAGCAACACTTCAAATCTCATGACACATCTGCGCGACCATCGCCCACAACTCTACAGTCAATGCAAGGCAAGATAACGCTAGTGTTTTAGCTAAAATGCGTGATCCGAGGATTTGGGTTGAGGGAGAATGCAACGAGTGGCTATATAAAGCAGCCGCAGTGCCCGCTACCTGCATATAAACCGTGTCGCGGACACCCCCATATTGAAATGACGCTATGCATTACGGGGCTCCCAGGGACCGATAAGAGTTGGTCTCTCTCCGAGAATAATTATGAATTTAACAACGATTACTGCCTGATGACATTTTCCCAAATCTGCAAAGCTCACTGGAAGGACACAAACTGAGGACAATATTTTCCTGATATAGGGTTTATTACACAAGTAAGGGTAAAAAAGTACCTGATTAGAAGGCTACTTGAGTACTGAGCATCATCTGATCTATTATTTTTAAAATGATGACATCAAACAGACAAAAAATAAGAAGTTATGGGCAAATATTGGTATTTTAAAGACTAAAGGGAAAAAATGTAAACAAACATAATTACAAAATAACACATTTTAGGCAAAATTTAGCCACAAACTAAGGACAATATTTTCCTGATATACAGGGTTTATTTAGTTGTGTGAAAATGTAACACGTTTAAAAAAATACCGCGATAATACCAAAAATCGTGATAATTTTGGTCACAATAACCGGGAAGTGAAATTTTCACACTGTGACAATCCTATCTGGATTATGAAATCCCTTCCTCAGAAAGAAAAGATATCAAGCACATCTTTCCTCGCAAAACAGGGTCAGGGTGATTCAGTGATACAGGAGGAAAAATGGCTCAACAGGGAGGAGGAAGACATCACACCTCAACCTCTCCATTTCATGCCAGCCAGGAAACCAGGGCCCACCATTGACTCCACTGCTTCGTGGTCCCCACTCTCTCTCTTCCAGCTCTTCTTTAGTCGGTCTGTGGTGCGTACATTCATTGACTACACCAATGCCAATGCTGCCAGACGACTCCAGGCTGGAAGGAAGTTTGTTTGGAGAGCTCTGACAGTGAGCGATTTTTACATCTTCATGGCCATCTTGGTCTTCACCGGTCTTGTGAGTTTGCACCACCTAGCAGACTACTGGAGAAAGACGTGGTCTTATAACTTTCTCTTCCCAGCTGACAAGATGATGAGGGGTCATTTTGAAGCCGTCTTGTGGTCTCTGCACCTCAGCAACCCTGAGGAAGATGAGGAAAACGAGAGAAAGAGGAACACAGCAGACTACGATCAGCTCTTCAAAATCAAACCACTCTATTCTGATACGGTGACTGCCTGCCAGGCCCACTTTCAGCCCTATCAGCCCTGGTTTTAGACAACAGCACAGCACTGAAACTGCTCACGTTCGGGTGTTTAATTACATTTTTCTGGCTTTAGATTCAGGTTTCCATGTGGTTCTGGTACGTTTGGATCTATCTGCAGCATTCGACACAATCGATCATGACATTTTGATCACAAGACTTCACACTTGGGCTGGCATTTCAGGCACAGCCCTGGATTGGTTTAGGTCATACTTTTGTAACAGGTCTGCTAGGGTCATGTTGGATGGCTGTTCATCCGTCACAGCCTCTACGTTGGGGTGTCCCACAAGGTTCAATTCTTGGCCCGTTACTGTTCAACCTCTATATACTGCCCTTAGGAGCCATTTTCAGAAAGCACGCTGTCTCATACCATCTTTACGCTGACGACTGTCAAATCTATTTTTCATTTAAGCCAACTCAATCAACGAAAGTTCTGTCTGATTGTATCCTTGAGGTCAAGCAATGGCTAGCTGATAACTTCCTCCATCTCAATGAAACTGACTTAATCGTTTTCAATCCTTACAGTACCACGGCGACTCATCAACCTGACCTCAACTATCTCTCACCTAATGTATCCTCTGTAATCTCCAACCTTGGAGTAAAAATGGACCAGGCTCTGAAGATGGATGCCCAGGTCAATAACACAGTTAAATCATGTTTTTACCAACTAAGACGCATCTCGAAACTAAAGCACATCCTGAGTGTCCATCTTCTGAAATCGGTGGTCCACACTTTTATCACTTCAAGGTTGGATTACTCTAACTCCTGCTTATACGGCATCAGTAAAGCAGCTCTTTCTAGACTTCAGCTGGTCCAGAATTCTGCAGCTAGGTTGCTGACTGGAGCTGACGGAAGACAACACATTTCTCCAATTCTGAAATCTCTCCACTGGTTGCCCGTGCAGTTCAGGATAAACTTCAAAATTATGCTTCTCACTGACAAATACTTGAACCATCAAGCTCCTCCATATCTGTGTGAACTTGTCCATTACTACAATCCGCCGCGTGCTCTCAGGTCTGAAGATAAGCTCCTCCTAGCTGTTCCGAATGCTCGTTTAAAAAGCCGTGGAGAAAGGGCTTTCTCTGTCTGTGCACCGAAGCTGTGGAACACATTACCACTGCTACTGAGGCAAGCACCAACAGCTAGCATTTTTAAATCACGCCTGAAAACTCACTACTTCAACCTAGCTTATACAACATAATTATGAACCTCACTTACATCTGCACTGTTTAAAAATGGACTCGACAATTATCGACTTCCGTACTACTGAGGTTCTTTTTTAAAATGTTTTTCTAATTTTTTATTCACCCTGTGTCTTATTGATTTTTAGCTGTTATTTTTGGGAATTTTGTTGTATTTCCTTTTTATCTTTTATCTGTGTTCGACATGTTTGTATAACGCCGGTTTAATTAACTAACATTTTTAGTGTACAGCGCCTTGTTTGGTTGTATTGCCTTGTGAATGCGCTTTATAAATAAAATTGAATTGGATTGGATTGGATTTCCATTGATGAAAAAATGGTGGCATCCAAGACTCGGCACAGCATAAAGCATTACCAGAAAGACAAACCAACCAAGTGGGGTTACAAGCTGTTTGTGCTAGCTGACTCCTCCACAGGATTCACCTGGAATTTCTTTGTTTGCACCGGCAAGAGTGCCTCCACCACAGGGCAGGGGCTGAGCTACTCATCAGTGTAGCTGCCTTCCTTTTCCCCTACTTGGTGGAGGCTACACGCTATTTGCAGACAACTCTTACACAAGCCCCACCTCTTTCCAAGATCTGAGTGCCAGAAATATTGGCTGTTGTGGCACAATACGAAAGTGGGTGTGGTTTACATCAATACATTATTTTAAGTCTGGAATTGATATGGATTGATCAGAAGTTGCTATGTGTATTGAGAGAGCGAGAGCGAGAGAGAGAGAGAGAGAGAGAGAGAGAGAGAGAGAGAGAGAGAGAGAGAGAGAGAGAGAGAGAGAGTTTTCTATAGCGCCTCTCAAGATAATCACGATGGACCTTGGCTCCCATGAAATAAAAACAATTCTGTCCCATCACAGGGAGGGGGATATCCAGGAGGGGGAGAAGCCAACCTTACCTGGATGGCTTATGTCTTACATATTCTGGAAGTTGTGCAAATGCAGGGATGGGAGTAGATTGCTAGAGTGGTGCTGGGTTGGTGCCCTCGGACTACGTGGGGCTCTGCAATGCTGCTGCTTTGGGCCCTGGAAAGATGGGTTGGGGTCTACATGCCCTGGGTGGAATTTTAGGAACAGAGGTGCCTATTGGGGCCAGTGGGGGAGCTGGCTCCCTGGAGGGCTTAGGCCAACCAGCCGTTCCTAGCCTTCCCCATACATTTTTTTCCTCCTGCTCCCTCACATCACTACACAAACATGCACATAGGACCTTGGGGGTATGGATCCCATTTCCGCAGTCCTGTAGCAGCCTGCCTCCCATTTTTATTTTTATTTTTTGCACATTAAACACTTCCACCACCGACATTTCACACAAGCACACACTTAGGGCCTTGGGAGTGAGCGCACTCAATGGCATATCGCAAGAGGATCTTTCAGCCTCATCCTGAGTGCTGGTACCCACTTCCAATTTTAAACTGCATATACAGTTGTGGTCAGAAGTTTACATACACTTGTAAAAAATATAATATAATGGCTCTACTGAGTGTCCCGTTATTTCTAAAACTCAGATTTTTCTCTGATAGAGTGATTGGAACAGATACTTCTTTGTCACAAAAAACATTCATGAAGTTTGGTTCTTTAATGTCTTTATAATGGGTTTACAGAGAAAAGTGATCACATTTGCTGGGTCACAAATATACATACAGCAACATGATCTAGCAATTTTGGTGACTTAGAAGCGTGTCAGTGAACTGAGCTTCATAGCATGGCCTCTTAACTTCTTGTGAGTGATTATGAGTGACTACAGCTGGTGACTTCTCTTAGGCCAGGTAAATAGGGCTCATTGGGTACAAACGCTACAATGGGAAAGTCAAAGGAGCTCAGCATGGATCTGAAAAAGCGAATTATTGACTTGAACAAGTCAGGAAAGTCACTTGGGGCCATGTCAAAGCAGCTGCAGGTCCCAAGAGCAACAGTGCAAACAATTGTTTGTTAGTATAAGGTGCATGGCACTGTTTCATCACTGCCAAGATCAGGAAGAAAACGCAAGCTATCACCTGCTGCTGAGAGAAAATTGGTCAGGAGGGTAAAGAGTGAACCAAGAATCACCAAAAAGCAGATCTGTCAAGAATTAGAAGCTGCTGGAACACAGGTGTCATTGTCCACAGTCAAACGTGTTTTGCATCTCCATGGACTGAGAGGCTGCCGTGCAAGAAGGAAGCCCTTGCTCCAAAAGCGGCACCTTAAGGCTCGACTGAAGTTTGCTGCTGATCACATGGACAAAGATAAGACCTTCTGACCCCCCACCCCCAAGGACAACTTACAAGGCAGCCATTCCTAATAGTAACCACTGCAAATGTATAAGTTAAACAAGTGAACCACACCTTTAAATGATGATATGTTCAAAGTCAAGTAACAAATGTGTTCATGATCATTCAATATGATTAATCACTGGTGCATCATAATCGTGTGTATGCAGTTTGACCATTGTAAGTCATCACAAGCCTTTATAAATGAATGGTCTCATTATCTTAGGAACAATTTATAGTAGGAGTCCTTTTATTAATATTACCATTTGATATGAAGACTGATCCTCCTCCATATTCCTCAGCCCCCACATTCAGATGGGCCTGGATGGGGTTGAAATCTTCACCAATTCTTCTGCTAGCCATCATGAGCTCCGCAAAGCAGATCAAAGAGTCACCCTGGTCAGGTCAGCCACCACCAAGGTACGTTAACTTTTCTGGGAGATGTGTGTGTGTGTGTGGTGGTGGTAAGAGGCGGGTGGGGGTGGGGGGTGGGGGGGCTGGATGGTGACTGGGTAATAGTCACCCTGGGTGGTCAGTTTGATGATGATGCTGTTTGGTGTTTCAGAGTGGAGGTATATACCTGTATGCCAACCAGAGAGGCTGTGATGGAGACCGTGTCTACTATGATGGGTGTGCTATGGTGGCTATCAATGGAGATGTAGTAGCACAGGGGGAGCAGTTCTCCCTCAACGATGTGGTGGGTGTGACACCAGGCAGAGGCAGGCTGGGTGATGACATTGCTCTGGTGAGTAACTGATAAAGAATTGTTGGTGTTGTAGGAGGTGATTCCAGCGACTCTGGATCTGGAGGACGTCCGTACTTACAGAGGAGAGCTGTGTCAGCCACAAATGGTGAGGTGTGAACTCAACTTTTTGAACATGCGAAGCAGCTCCATGGGTCAGACATGACCAGACCGATGGCCCAGATGGTGTTCTGAGGAGGGGATTAACTTTAGTCTCACCATACTTATTTAATCTATTTTCTTTAGAAGATTTTATTTTTTACCAGGTTGCTTTTTTCTTGTAGGGACGTGAACTCAGACCATGTTTTAGGGTCAAAGTTGACTTTTCTCTGTCTGGCAGTGCTGATCTCTACCTCCCCACCCATCAGCCTGTACAGTGGCACTTCCATACTCCAGAGGAGGAGATAAGGTAACAGACACTGACACTTGTGTTTCAGTACACAGTTTAAAACTCAGCTGTTGACTGCTGCGGTTTCCAGTCTAGGGCCTGCCTGCTGGCTGTGGGACTATTTGAGGAGAAGTGGACAGGTGTGCTGAACACATGCTTATTAACCTGAATCCCATGTGTTCAGTGATGTGTGATGGTGTACTGTGTTTCAGGCTGGCTTTCTGTTGCCTCTGAGTGGCGGTGTTGATAGCTCCTCCACAGCCTGTATAATCTACTGCATGTGTGTCCTGCTGTGCCAGGCTGTCAGGAAGGGAAGTGAGTATCATTTGGTTTGTTTTCCTCTACCACTCCTTTGAAGATGCCTGCTTGTTTTCCATGTTTTTTTTTTGTAGACTCCAGAAAGTTGGGGAGCAACCTTTCTCTGTGGCTGTCTCCCAAGTTTAGGTCCTCCACCACCTCCCTCACCCTTGGTGTCCCACAAGGTTCTGTGCTGGGGCCTCTGCTCTTCGTCCTCTATCTGCTTCCTCTTCAGCACATCCTGAGCTCCTTCAATGGAATCTCCTATCATCTTTATGCAGATGACATCCAACTGTACATCTCCTTTAAGCCCCATGAGATGTCTAAGCTGCAGCTGTTACACACCTGCTTAGACTCTATCAAAACCTGGATGGCTGGGAGCTTTCTACAGCTGAATGAAGATAAGACTCAGATCTTCTTCATCTGAGCCCCAGACAAGCTGGTTCCCAAAGTCAGAGACTCTCTTGGTCAGCTTGCTTCTCACACCAAACCCTCCCTCAGGAATCTTGGTGTGACCTTTGACCCAGCTATCACCCTGGTTTCTCATGTCAGTTCTCTTGTTCACTCTTCCTTCTTCTATCTCAGGAACATTGCTAAGCTGAGTCCCATTCTGTCCCGCTCTGAACTTGAGACAGTTCTCCACGCCTTCATCTCCTCACGCTTAGACTACTGTAACTCTCTTTTCACGTGTCTGAGCAGAACCTCCCTGAACCGTCTACAGGTGGTTCAGAATGCCTGTGCTCGGCTCCTGACCAAGTCCTCCAAACACACCCACATCACCCCGCTTCTCCTCCAGCTTCACTGGCTCTCAGACAACTTCAGGGTTCATTTCAAGATCCTAGTTCTGGTCTATAGGGCCTTACATGGACAAGCACCATCTTACATTGGTGATCTTCTTAGTCCCTACACCCCCAGCAGGTCCCTGAGGTCCAGTGACCAAAGCCTACTGGTTGTGCAGCACCAGGCTAAAGACCAAAGGTGACAGATCATTTGCTGCTGTGGCCCCCAGACTCTGGACCTCTCTCCCCCTGAGCCTGAGATCAGTGGACTCAGTGGTCTCCTTTAAAAAGCAGCTGAAGACTCACTTGTTCAGACTTTGGTGTGACCTTCATCACCCTCTCCTTGTTCTGCCTTTCCCGTGATCCACTGATTTCCCTCTTTCCTATTCATTTTCTATCTCCCTTTCCTTACGTAATTTTTTTCACAAATTAAATATTTTTCTCATTTGAAACATTTTTAATCTTTTTTTATGTTAAAATTTTTTTCTTGTGAAGCGCCTCATGATTTTTATCTTGAGAGGTGCTATAGAAAAGATAGTTTTCTTTATTTCTCTCCCAGATTGAGGTGATTGTGTCTCTTATCTCTTACCCTAAGCCGTTCCACTCGGGTTAGGGTAAGAGATAAGCAGAACAAACTGAGTGATGCTAGTCTGTCTAAGGCAAAATCCGGGCAGACACTGTGCAACTTTTTACCTTTTTTGAGCCGATTTTCCACTCGTGCGAGAATCCACAAGATTGGGGCGAGTTTTGTGTCGTGTAGTGTACAGGAGATAACGATAGGCTATGTGACCAGCTACGGTCAGTAATCGTGAGCTTGCACGGATTTCTGGTGTGTTAGATATTTTGCCTTTCCCTCGTGTGTGCATCACACTGTTGAAGTGGCGCTGTGAGTGGCTGCGACTCAAAAAATACCAGAACCGCTCACGGCGCAGACATGCATCAACGAGGCTCGCCAGCTATTTCTCTACTAACACTTCTCAGTAGTTTTTATTTCTGCACTATTCTTTACGCACACAATGACAAAGATTGTCAAGAAAGCATGTTTATGACAAATTAAACTGATCACAAAACATTGATTTACTTTCTTTCGTGTTCATCCTCAAAACCCCATACATCCCTGTGTGTCCTTCTACAGCACTCCCAAAGGACAACAGACATCAATAACAGCACAAAAAAGTCCGACGTGTTGCTAACAGACATACAGTGTGAGCACATGACTCGTGAGATTTGCTCTGCGGGGAAGTCGTACAGTTTGAGCTGAAGCTGAGTGCTGTGAGTGGAAAAAAATCATACAGTGTCTGCCCAGCTAGGGATGTCCCGATACAACTGATATGATACCGATATTGCAGCCTTCAGTATTGACCGATATCGACATCAATCCGATAACAATATCAGCAAAAATCATACATACTTTTACCTATTTCATAGTGTGGAATGTACGAAAGGCTTGATCAGTGATATTACTCAATTGGAGAACAAGAGCCAATAACAGTAAGTGTGGAAAAAAAATAAAAAAAAAATTCTTAACCATTGGTTGCAAAAATGTGAACCTTAACGAACTGCTTATATTGGAGATGTTTGATGCCGTCCGATATAAACCGATACACTGTTTTGGGGCTGATATCAAATTACTTCCGATTTTGGAACGGGATATCCCTGTGTCTAAATAAACCCAGCAGATGTGTCCTGGTGTCTCAGACAGCCAGGTGCTAGAGGATGTCCGCAGAGTTGTTGGAGACGAGTCCTACACCCCCCAGCATCCGGAGGAGCTGTGTGGGCGTATCTTCACCACCTGCTACATGGCCAGTGAAAACTCCTCAGAAGGAACTTGCAGCAGGGCTCGAGAACTGGCCAGCCAGATTGGCAGGTAGGCAAGTTTCAGAAAAGTCGTCAAGGGCGGGTCACGACCCTCAAACTAGGTCACAAGTGACTGTAGCTCAGGCGTAAAGGTGTCTTTGATCTTCCAGCACACACTTGAACATTAATATTGACCTGGCAGTGAAAGGCATTCTGGGTATCTTCTCTGCGGTTACTGGAAGGTGGCCTCAATTCACTGCAAAGGGAGGAAGCATCAGAGAAAACCTAGCTCTGCAAAATGTACAGGTCAGTCTGTCTCTCTCACACACACACACACACACACACACACACACACACACACACACACACACCTCTAGGGGTGCAATGGATCATCACTTCACAGATCTCTCTACGGTTCGGCACACACACGATCTGCAGACTGGTCACGTAACGGGTGGAGGCGCCACCTGTTCAATCCAAATGGGAAAAGCACAGCGGTGGTCGAGGAGCTTGAAAAACCACCTGCATCATTTAAGTCCCATGTATAAGAGCATTTCAGCTTCCCTGTGAAACACGACGGTGATACAAACGGCGAAGAAAACAAAAACACGGGCCTCAAGTCTGAACGCACAGCGCCGCACACATGTACCTCCGATCTCTGTGAAAGGACGGAGGAGGGTGGCATGCACAAAATGCCTGGGAGAGTTATTACATCAACATATTGGGACTTGAAATATTGTTGGGGACAAATCTGTAAAAGTGGGAAGAAAATTAATGGTGCTTTAGAAATGCGAGGAAATGAAAGCAGGACACGCAGCTAGTGACCACTATGGCAATCCGTTTATCATTTAATCAGCCGTCGGATCTCTCTGTAATTCTTACTAATTGAACAGAAAAATGTCACACAAAGCGTGACATAAAGAGAAAACAAAGCTATTTGTCTTTTATTTTTGCTGAACCGAATAAATAATCGGATCCGTGACTGAAAACCGTGATCCAATCTGACCCGTGAGTTTTTGGTCTGTTGCACCACTAAATGTGTTTGTGATGAGGCCTTGCTGTAGAAGGCCTCCTCTCACCTTCACCTGTCAGGCTTGTGACAGTTTAACCACAGTCTTCACCCTTTCGTAGTTTCAGGAAGATGAAGCTTTCACTTCTTGTTGGGCTGGAGATCATGTTGGTTTTCAGTCTGCAGGTTTTGGTTTGAGTCTGCAGCTCTGAGACTGGAATGAACCCTTCTGTACTAAAAAGGATGAGTTTATTCATCTCCACTTGCCTCCAGTGGGACAACAGATGCATGAATGAAGTAGCTAAAAGGTGAGGAGGGAGATGGTCCTATGGTTGCCACCCAATGCTGCTTGTGAATGACCCTTAGCCCGAAGGTCCCCCCCCCCCCCCCCCCCCGTGCTGGACCGGCACCATGACTGTATAACTCCTCCCAGCCTTGATCAGCATCAGGAGTCATGCTGGCTCTAGCGCTGTGTGTTTGTGTTGTCACCAGGCCCGACTCCGGATGGTTCTGGCTTACCTTTTTGCCCAGCTGAGTCTGTGGACCCGCGGTAAGCCAGGTGGATTGCTGGTTCTGGGTTCTGCCAACGTAGATGAGAGGTGATGCACCCATGTGTTTGTCATCAGAAAACAGCTGATGGTGTACCTACTGTCTGCACTTGAACCATTTAATTAGACCTTGACCTCTTCTCCTCAGCCTCACAGGATATTTCACCAAGTACGACTGCTCCAGTGCAGACATCAACCCGATTGGTGGAGTCAGCAAGACAGATCTGAAGAGTTTCTTGCTTTATTGTGCAGAGAAGTTCCAGCTTACTGCTCTGACAGGGTGAGGATGACCTTCACACTCAGACCTCACACATGCATGTGGAACTGTGTGGAAGCTGTTAGCTGGCTGGTTTCTCTGCAGAATTTTGGCTGCTCCACCCACAGCTGAACTGGAGCCTCTGACAGATGGACAAGTGACTCAGACAGATGAGGTAAGACACGACACTCCCCTTATAACGCTCACCCACCTTGTCCCTGATGCCACATGCTCTTACACTGAAAAAGTACACACCCCATTACAATCGTCATTAACACTGCGTCTATGGCATAGTATGAGCCAGCGAGCCGTCCCACCATCATTTGGACAGCCTGTCTTCTAAAATGACGGCCTAAATATTGAGTGACGGCTTGCAAATTTGATGGCTTTTCCGGCTCTTGGAGAGTACAGATGCTTTTTTCTCCTGTCCCTCCCTCCTTATCCCAAGGCTCTTTGTCCTGTCTGTGCACGGCGCTTCTGCATTTTTTCTGGAAACTGGAAATTATTAAAAATGGATCTGGTCAGTTGGTCTCTCAATGCGATTGTCAACAATTTTTCAACGATGAGAATGGGAGAAGGGGTTCCCAGATGCCCCTCTGGGACAGAGCCAGCTGGGTATATCATGGACTCCTGGAAACAGTGGAACCTGATCTCCCTCTCTCAACTGTCTGTAGAGGATTCTGAAGATGTCTGGATATTCGTCGTTTTGGTGTCGGGATTCCTGCTGTTTGGCCTGAGCAGTTACCTGGCTTACTGGAAAATTAACGAGCTTTCGAGGAATATTGGCTCGATCCTGGAGCTCAGGGATGGAATGCATCACGCTGTGAACGCACAAACTCATGTAACTTTTGATGAGTCGAAAGCTTGGAACTTTGGCTGAGAGGCTCTGGCACAAAAGGTGGATTCCATCAAGGAGCGAGTGGACGGATCAGCACGGATTGGGATTGATTAATTACGCCGTTATTGGATCTAGAGGGGTTGAAGACCAACAGAACACTAAGACAGAGAGGAAAGTATCTCTGTCCCCAAAACAATTTTTATCTGAATCTGGTGCCCTTGGAGCCTGTGAGGCTGAAGTGATAACTCTCGCCTCAGAAGAAATGAGGAATGCTGCTGTTGTTATGGAAACCCTTTCTCCCTATCCCAGTCTGGGCGGGACTGTGACCGATGAAGGCCATGGAATCGTATCTAGGAGTCACTGTGCACTCTAACCCATTATCTCCATCCCCTGTCCAAACGGAAGTGATGAGCGCTGCTCCATGTGGCTGCACGCACTGAAGTGAGGAGAGTCCCAACCCTACCTCCCCACCTAGTGGACACTTATGCTGTGTATTGTCTGAAGTCTGTGTGCATATCTGTGAGGTGGTTTTTTGCATAGCAAAGCTGCCTTCTCTGTTGAGGGTAACTCTGAAGTGCCTATTTTTCCTCCACCTGACTCTGCCCTCAAATATAAACCCTCTGATCTAAATTAAGGTAGCACGACTCAGGTTGCGAATGACCACAGTCACCAATTCTTGTCATGTGTCTATGTATGTATGTCTGATCTCAGAATTGAGTGTACTGAAACTCTAATTTCCCTCTGGGATTAATAAAGTATTTTTGAATTGAATTGAATTGAAAGCTGTCTTTATTTTCTGAAATATCAAATCTAGAATTTGCCTTTTGTTGAAGTAAAATAAAAATCAGATTTTTGTACAAATCATTTGGCAAAGATGTTCAAGTGGAAATATGCAGATTCATTGCGGGGGGTCTAACCCTAACCCAGCGTGCAGGGTTCGAATGCAATGAACCTGTCACAATTAGGGCAGGAGGAAGTTTAGGGCCCAAGATGCAGGAAAACCAAATGAACGAGGCAGGAGGTAGGTGATGAAAATAAATCCTTTATTTAGGAGTAATCCAATGGCAGCGAGCCAAAAAACCAAAAATCCAAATGACTAAACCAGAGATCCAAAAACACTAGAAGCTAGAGAGCCAAACGAGAACGAGACTGACAAGAAACAATGAACCGTCAAAACGTTGAGACACAGACAGGGCTTTATACACTGGATGAGAGGGAGATGAACTGCAGGTGTGTGGGGAGAGAGAGACCAGGTGAACTCAATTACTAATCAGGGAGAAAACTAACATGATCTAAGAATAAAACCTAAAGACAAGAAGAGCAGGAAACATAACTAATAATCTAAGGGGGGAGAAAAACCTCAAACACTGATGGGAAAAACACACTAAAGAGACTAATAACATGAACAGCTGTAGCTAAAGGAAAATGACCTAAGAGAAAAACCTAAAGACCAGAAGGGCAGCAAACATAACTAATATTGTAAGGGGGCGAGGGCTGAAACTAAAGGAAAACACTACAGAAAGAAAAACTACAGGGGCGTGACTAAAAGGGGGCCACGGGAGCACAGGATCTGGGAGAGGGATACCTGAGGAGGGAAAACTAGAGGGCTGAAGATCTGGGGGAAAATGGAGAACGCCAGGAGACACATGAGGGAGACGCAGACGAGGACACATGAGGGCGCTAGGAGACACAAAAGGAGAACCTAGAGAGGGATGGAGAACACAAAGACACATGAGGGGAGATGCAGACGCAGACCATGACAGTACCCCCCCCCCAAGGGGTGGATACCAGACTCCCACAAGACGATAGACAAACAAGAGACAAGGGGACCAGGGACCAGATGAGTCTGGGGGTCGGCGACGGGGAGACAGGAGCCGGGAACAGAGAAGTCTGGGGGGCCGGCGACGGAGAACCAGTAGCTGTGAGTTGGAGTTGGGAAATCTGGGGGCTCTGGAGGAGGACAAAGAGGGAACATAAGAGGAGGGTGACGAAGAGGGGACTTCAGAGGAGGGCGACGAGGAAGGGATTCTAGAGGAGGAGGACGAGGAAGGGATTCTAGAGGAGGAGGATGAGGAAGGGATTCTAGAGGAGAAGGACAAGGAAGGGATTCTAGAGGAGGAGGACGAGGAAGGGACTCTGGAGGGTGAAGGGACGAAGACTCTGGAGGGTGAAGGGACAAAGACTCTGTAGGGTGTGGGGACGAAGACTCTTGTGGGGACGAAGACTGCAGGTGGCGGCTCAGGAGACGAAAACTCTGCAGGTGGCGGCTCAGGAGACACTTTAGGTTCAGCTGTCGACTCAGGAGACACTAGACTCGGCTGGCGAGAACACTTTAAACTCGGCTGGAGAGGACACTTTAAACTCGGCTGGCGAGGACACTTTAAACTCGGCTGGCGAGGACACTTTAAACTCGGCTGGCGAGGACACTTTAAACTCAGCTGGTGAGGACACTATAGGAGTGGGCCCTGCAGGTGAAGACTGCAGGCTGGAACGTAGACTCTGGAGGCGTCGACTCTGGAACTGGAGGCGTAGACTCTGGAACTGGGGGCGTCGACTCTGGAACTGGAGGCGCCGACTCTGGAACTGGAGGCGCCGACTCTGGAACTGGAGGCGTAGACTCTGGAACTGGAGGCGTCGACTCTGGAACTGGAGGAGTCGACTCTGGAACTCTGGCGCCAACTCATGGACGGACAGGACTGGATCCTTGTGGACGAGCTGGACCAGAACCCCACGGATGGGCTGGACCGGAACTCTTAGACAGGCTGAGGTGCGGCCTCTGGAACTGGATACGGCGCGACCTCTGGGACCACCGCTGGAACTGGACACACTGCGACCTCCGGGACCACCTCTGGAACTGGATACAGTGCGACCTCCGGGACCACCGCTGGAACTGGATACGGTGCGACCTCGGGGACCACGCTGGAACTGGATAAGGCGAAGGCAGGTAGAGCTTAGGCTTGAACTGTAGAGCAGGGGCCTCTTGAATAGGCGGCACAACTCTGGCTTCAGACTGTTGCATGGGCTTTGGCTTGGGTTGCAGAGCAGGGGCCTCTTGGACAGGTGGAAGTGTTTAATGTGCAAATACAATTGGGGGGCAGGCTGCCACAGGAATGCGGAAATGGGATCCATACCTGCACTCCCTGACTTGTCCTCCCCTCAAGGTCCTATATGCATGTTTGTGTGATGATGTGAGGGAGCAGGAGGAGAAAAATGTACGGGGATGGGGAGGAACGGCTGGTTGGACTTAAGCCCTCCAGGGAGCCAGCTCCCCCACTGGCCCCAATAGGCACCTCTGTGCCCAAAATTCCACCCAGGGCATGGAGACCCCAGCCCATCTCGCCAGGGCCCAAGGCAGCAGCATTGCAGAGCTCCTTGGAGTCCGAGGGCACCAATCCAGCCCCGCCACAGCAGAATATCTACTCCCATCCCTGCATTTGCACAACTTCCAGAATATATAAGACATAAAACATCCAGGTAAGGTTGGGTAATCACCCTCCTGGATATCCACTTCACCCGTGATGGGACATAATTATTTCAGAGGAGCCAAGGTCCACCTGAGCCTGGGCCAGGTGCTGCCGCATGTTCCTGTCTTCTTCTCGGCATCACCCCAGTGCTTGTATCTAGATCGAGGGACTTCAAGAAAAAGCTTCCCTGTTGACCTAGTGGACTGTGTTAGCTGATGTATGGACAAGGAGTCCGAGAGATGGGCCAGACCCAGGCCGTGGATACTCGTGAACGTGAACATTATGATTTTGAATTGTATTCTGTAAAACACAGGAAGCCAGTGCAGTTCTAAGAGAATGGGAGTAATATGGCTGCACCTAGGTGTGTTAATGAGGAGGCGGGCTGCAGAATTTTGGACCAGTTGAAGACTAGCGATTGAGGACTTGGATAAACCGACATACAGAGAATTGCAGTAATCGATGCGTGAGCTTATAAGGTCATGAATGACTTTGTTCAGGTCAAAGCGGTTTAAAAATAGTTTCAGCCTGGAAAACCCCCTAAGTTGATAAAAACTTGACTACGTCATTGATCTGTTTGTCGAAATTCATGTGTTCATCGAAGATGACACCAAGGTTTCTAAAACTTGGTCATTTATCCTCTGTTGTCAAGATGAACTTAAGGAATTTGGGTGTTCCTTTTGACCAATCAATGTCTCTTGAAGGCCACTCAAAAACGCTGGTCAAAAACTGTTTTTATCATTTAAGAAATATCTCCAAACTGTGAAGGTTGGTGTCAAAACATGAACTAGAAATGGTTATCCATGCATTTATCTCCTCCCGTCTAGATAACTGTAACACACTCTTCACATGTTTTAACAGAAGAGCCCTTGACCTCCTTCAGTTGGTCCAGAACTCTGCGAGGCTCCTAACTGGAGCAAATAGAAGAGCACACATCACTCCTATTCTGATGTCTCTGCACTGGTTACCCGTTAACTTTAGAGTTCATTTTAGAATCCTGACTAGAACTTTCAGAGCTCTACATGGTCAAGCTCCTCCCTATATTACTGAACTGTTAAAGCCTTATGCTCCAACCCGAGCCCTCAGGTCCACACACCAGAACCTTCTAGAAGTTCTGTAGACCAGATATAAAAGTCGAGATGATCGCTCCTTCCAGACTGTTGCACCCTGACTCTGGAATGATCTTCCTTTATCCTCACACAGCATTGAGAGTCTGGACACTTTAAAAAACAGCTAAAGACCCTTTTATTTAAAGCTGCTTTAACCTAAATATTTTATTGTCTTATTTTAACGCAAATTTCTAATCCTTCATCTGTTTATGAAATTTTATAATTTTATGACTTTATTATTTTTCTTATTTTCTGATGTTAATCTAATTGTTTTGAGATTATTTTTTATATTGTTTTGATCTATGTGAAGCACCTTGTGATTCTATGTCTGTCATGTCTGAGGCACACCTGTACATTATTCATACTGTCTAATTAGCCCCTTGATATGCAACATCTGTGAGGTGGGATTGATTAACTTGGTTAAGGAAAAGTGCTCACTAACGCACATGTAGACAGATTTCAGAATTGGAGCGTCATGGGTCTTTTGTGCATGTAGAAAAAATTTCAGATGTTTGAGTTCATCTCATAAAAAATGGGAGCAGAAACAAAAGTGTTACATTTATATTTTTGTTCAGTGTAATTAGTTGAAAAATAAATTATTTTGATCTTTCAGGGGTTTTGAATTGTTCTTGTTAAGTTGAACTGGTTGTGAGTAGTGTACAAAACCTCCACTAGCAGCAACCAGAATGTTGAAAAGCAACACTGTTCTTCCCTGTTTCTGTCTCTAAGCACCACGGTCTTCTCCACAGGCAGACATGGGCATCACCTACTCAGAATTATCAATGATTGGACGACTGAGGAAGATCTCCAAGTGTGGCCCGTTCAGTATGTTCTGTAAGCTGATTCACATGTGGAAGGATATTCTCTCACCAACAGAGGTGCATCATCTGATCTGCACATCCACTTGTCGTCTGACTACATTCCTCTATCTGTTTTAAATGCACATGATAAAAGGAAATGAGCATCGCCCACAGAGAGCAAGTCCCAAGAGGATCAATAAAGTATCCATTTATTTTTTTAAATGAGGAACATTTCAAACCAGTGTGTAGAAAAAATGGCTCTACCTGCACTTAGAATTGACACTTATTAGCTAATCATTCTAACCATAACCACTATGGTTAGCTGATGGGGGCTGATGGTTTGGGCTGGTTCTTCATCTACAGGATGTATTGGGTCCACCACAACCACCTTAGGCAGATCACTGAAGCCCCTGTTGCAAGCTCTAGTCTTCAGCTGAGTGTTGTAGTAGGATCTAAAGGGAGCTCTGTGTTCACTCATAGAACGTCAAAGAGCTGAAGCCACAGAATCCCCTAAGACCATGCACCTCGGCACTGGTAGAACAAATCAGAGCCGGGCGGGGGGCGGAGCAAATTACCAGGCCCTTTAAGCCCAAATTATAAAGGTCATGAAAATGTAATTAACCTTGCGTTTCGAGTAGTGTTAGTGACTGAGGAGAAAGATGTCTTCCTTGAACCCCAGTACTTAAAATCGTGGCACCATCCTCTCATCCACAAACCAACCAGGCCAATAAAATCTATCTTTTCCTTTAGCCCACAGCTTCTGGACCCCCAAATGCCCTGCTGTCAATGAGTCATGTAGCCCCTTTGGTATAAGGGACTTTGGGAGAATCACTTGAACCTGCTGTGCCCACGGCCGGTTTCTCATTGCAGGGGCCCCACCGACCCCCACCCCAACCCCGACACCCTGTAGCACTTTTTAGACATTTCATAACATTGTCAGTAACTAAATTGCTTACTTATGTAAATATATAAGTATTTTACTCTAAATGGACAAATGCACATTTTTCCAATATTAGGGGGATACGTCCCACTTGTCCTCCTGGTCCCTATGCAGTTACTTATAAAACCAAGCACACCATTGTTTTTCTTGTGATATTCCAAATAAGTTAGATGCATCACATGACCCTCTTCCTATTGAAAAAACAAAAGTTGGATCCAAGATGGCCGACTATAATTTGGTCATCATGGTCACCACCCATCTTGAAAAGTTTGCCCCCTCTTATATACTAATGTGCCACAAACAGGATGTTAATATCACCAACCAATCCCATTTAATTAAGGTGTATCCATGTAAATGGCCCACCCTGTAGTTTTATGTGCAAATACATCTAATAACACTCATCAAAAATTGCTGATTTATAGACAAAAATCATCCTCCTCTTTGCACAGGAAGACTTCAATAACTTAAGTGTCATAAAGCTGTCGCTGCATTTTAGTTCCATCAGTAAGTCCTTCGCTATGGACATGGAGGCCAAAGCTGAGAATCGTAGACAAACTAGCTAGCGACAGGGTTGAGTGGCCTCTCGTAATAAGGATCAGCTTCTCTGGAAATGTCCATCTTGAAAATGGAACTGAAATAATCCTTGAGGCCAAGTCAATTTCTTCTTCGCCATTAACCCTCCACCTAGTTTGCCATCTGTTGACAAGTGATGATGTTGGTGGACAGCTGGTGAGGAATTGTACCCATAATGACAGCATTTCCATCAGTAACAGGTATGAATGCTTTGATCCAATCACGTGATCTAGGGCTGCACGATATTAGGAAAACCTGTGATATGTGATAACAGTGATTAATATTACGATGATGATATTACTTGAAATAAATAAAAACTTAACTCAGGAACAAAAATAATCAAACATAAAAAAGGACAAAAAAATTGTAAACATGAGAAAAGCAAAAGATGTGAGGAAAGGGAAAAACAAAATGAACAAGAAAAGGCAATCAGTGGATCCTGGGAAAAGCAGAATCAGCAGAAAGAGCAGAACAAAGCTAACTCAGGTGTTTGCTAACCATCAAAATTAAGTGCCGTCCGCCTCGGGGGCGGGCATCTGGCCTATGAGAACCCACCCAACTGGCCAAATGAGTGAAGAGCTCTATTTGATTTATTAAAAAACATAATGATTCCGTTTGACAGCATGCATTATGTTTAGCAAACATTTGAGCTGACCATTCATTGCAAATTTATCTTTTCTTCACGATTATGCATATTGTGCATGCTGATATCACGATAACGATGCATTTATGATATATTGTGCAACCCTAACGTGATTGGAAATCGAGGCAGATCACGGGTTTTTGAAAGGATCGGAATCGGGAGAAATAAATCTGATTCAACCTTTTAAAACAACAAACATGACTTTTACAATTAATCCCAAGATAGAGATTCTCAAATTCTGTAAAAATCTCTTGGTTTTAATTTCAGTAACCCTTCTACATTAATATTTGTTTCTTGTATGAAAACATCACAGTAACGTCACACAATTTACGGCAGGCAAGGAGTCGGACACCAAGTGCCGCTGTTAGCAAGCCTGTTTACTCAGAGCCAACATCTCTCCTCAGGAGAGCTAAAATATCTGCAGCTTGGTGGTGTCTTAAACTGGACAGCAAAGGCAGAGCTACAGGCTGTGTCTCAATTCAGGGTCTGCGTCCTTCGAAGGACCCAGCCTACTCGGCCGACGTGGGCTGCGTCCTCCGTCTGCCGGGTAGACCGGATGTTAACGGCTGTGAATTTGGACAGGCCTAGCCTTCATGAATTCCCGCCTCTCCCTCGGCAAACGTTCCGTCGCCTAGCAACCGTGGAACCGCTGAGCAGAAGGGAGAAGGAACTTTAAACGATGGAGCTCAAAGTTCTATTTAGATCTTTAATCATTTCCTTGACTGTTGGAGAGCTAATTCGAAGAAAATACTTTCGACAAGCTGTGCCTCAGCAAAGATGTGATAATAGTTTTTAATACTGTCTAAGGGTCTTAATTTGACCAAAACCGATTTATCACCTTTTAAGACTTTTCAGACCCAGCGGGATACACTCTAGTAAACAATTCTCATTTGTAAACCAAAATAAAATTCAAGGGTTTAATGCAGAACTGATTTTATTTAGACATTTCTTTTATATGTACATGTTTAATCTTTATTAACCATTTTTTCTAGCAAAGTAAAAAGCTGTCAAAGTTCTCCCTTCTCTCCTGGGCCCTCTGCCTCCCTCTGCAGCCTCATGTTCTCCCTGATCAGCTCCAGGAGCTGGTCATCGCTGGCACCTTCCCCTGGATGCCCATTTTCTCCAGAATAGTCTTAACAAACATGTAAGAAAAGAAACAGGAAGAGAAAAGAGGACAACGGGTTATTCCTTTCATGTTTTCGCAGAAAAAATAAACTCAAACGAGTTTTTAAAATATGAGATGTTATTGTACCTCCAAGCCACAGCCGCCGAATACTTTGCTCCGGTGATCATGTGGTCCATCTCCGCCCTAAGCTTAATAAATTCCCTGGTTTTCTCTTGTACCTAAAATACAAACTTCTATTAAAATCAGGGGAAAAATGTAGCGGGAGAAGTAGGACACCGAGCGGCCGAACATACGAGCCGAGACCGCAATACAAGCACTTTTACTGTAACATTTCTAACTAAAATAACGTTCATGTATCACCAAAAGTCCTTAACCTAACAGTTTTCAAGTTTATACTGACATTTATATGCACATTCCTCTCCGACAGCTCCCGCTTCACTGTCCGCCGTTTTTCTGCCGGCCGGCCCGCAAGGCATCTTGGGAAATGCTACCCATTGAAGGATACACCGGACCCATCCTTCATTTAGGCAAAAAGAAGGCCGGATTTGTCGACCGCATTTGAAGGAGTCTTCGAATTGGGACAGGCCTAGTCGCGGCGCTGTGACGTAACCGGCCGACGTAGGATGCATACCCTGATTTGAGACACAGCCACAGACACTTGTAATGTGTGCATACTGGGTATTCAACATGCTGGAAAGGACACAGCTCCATGATTCGCAGCCTTCAAAACAAGCTACTTTCACTGTAGGCTTTTCCCTTCAGGCATCAACAAAGCAAATCACCGGTCTCCATTAATTCCCAGTTTACTTCCAACAGTCACAGTTCACAGTGAAGTCAGACAAAAACACGGAGCCAGTCGACAGAGAAAATTACGCTAATGAACAAAGAGAAGTTGCCAACAGACTGCAAAACATCTGGGTTTCTAATTCTCCAGCACGGAGCTGCGCGCTGAAGCTACAGGTGTTATGCAGACTAAAGTTACCCTGCCTGCCAAAGGCTCCACCTGCCTGCTCCGCCATGTGAGCACGCATTGTTCACAGCTGCATATTGAGGGCGTATACAACTTGAAATAAGAGCAACGCTGCTAATTTTCAATATATTCACAATATAAGCAAATTTTAATTGGTGTACTTCCTAAATAAATGAAAGTGAAACTTAAAGGACAGTTTGGATGTGTGCTCTCCTTATTTTAATGCTTTTTTGAAAAGCATCAGATCGGGACTCGTATCGGCAGAAACTCTAAATCAAATGAGTCGGAATCGGATCGGGAGCAAAAAACAAACCATGATTGGAACATCCCTAGTAACAGGTCTTTTTCAGTACCTGCTGTGATGGGGTTCCAAGTGTACCGTGCCGGGTTGAAAGTGTGGTACCAGCACCTGTCACTCATTGGCTAGAGCAGTTTTTCCCAACCCTTGTTCTCAGGAACCACTTTCCTGCATGTTTTCCATGTTGCCCTTTCAAACACCAGTGTGTCTTTGCTGCCACACACCTGACTTAAATGAATGAGTGATTAACCGGTATCTACAGGATTTGATGTCCTCCTGAGAAGCCAGTGTAAATCAGGTGTGCTGAAGTAGAGACGTGGAAAACACGTAGGACAGTGGTCCCTGAGGAACAGGGTTAGGAGACACTGCGCTAAAGGGTCGAGTTACTGGTTGCTCCCGAGTTTACTGCCTGCTGCCCACAGCTTTTTTCTAGGTTCACTGTCGGACAAAAAGCCAGACACTAAGCAGAATGTTCAACATCACCCTCATTGTTGGGTTGTATTTGGCACAAAAATCACCTCACGCTCACGGGCCTACCCAGTCCCTCAGCCTCTCCAGTAGCAGGTGATGGTCAACAGTGTCAAAGGCTGCAGTCAGGTCCAGCAGGACCAGAACAGAACAGTCCCCTGCATCACCGTGAGTCAGAAGGTCATTAGAGACCCTAAGAAGAGCTGTTTCAGTAGAATGAGCTCTACGAAGACCTGACTGGAAACGTTCAGAGCAGAAGTTTAGATGTTTATTGGATCTACAGTAGCCTTGTAGATGCTCTCAGCCTTCACTTATGCTGTGGGACTTAAGCTCATGGTTGTCTCCCCTCAGGTGGCTCAAAAGGTTAAACTCTTCTTCAGACGGTACTCAGCGAATCGCCACAAGATGACCACGATAACTCCGTCCTACCACGCTGAGAGCTACAGTCCTGATGACAACCGTTTTGACCTGCGACCGTTCCTCTATAATACACGCTGGCCCTGGCAGTTTAGGTGCATTGACAACCAGGTAAGAAATGATGGCATCACCTCCTTGCTCAGGTAGCTTTTACTGGAGGGCTGACAGAGGCCGCCTGACAACAGGCATGTTGTATTTTGGGTAAAGGGGATAACAAATATCTGTTTATTAGGGATGCAAGTTTCCCAGAATGAGTTTAACTGGTTATTTAAGCCGTTTAACGGTTAATACTCGGCTCACCCTTATAGAGCCTATGCTCTATGAATAATACAAACGCGTTTCCATCTACTGTTGTAACATAATTCTAACACAGAACCAAAGTCCCATGCTCGTTACAACGTTCATAACTAAAAACAACGTTAGTGAGATGAGAGCTGAAATGTCCGTAACGGGCCGTCCGGGATCACAGCGTTGCTTATGAGCGCATTGTGGAGGCCACACTTTTAAATATCCACTTTACTTCCCTAACATTAAACTAAATGATTACACCGAAGTTTCTTTATCTTATTACTGCTAGACAAACAAGAGGAGGCAGACATCAAGCTGTCACAATGCAGGAGTAACAGTTTTATTTCCACATTTATCCAGTCTCAGCACTGATGTGGGGGTCATTTCATTATCACCTGAAATTTTCACTTTTCCACTTGAAAAAATGTATAAAATGGCTTCCTAATGATTTCTCACTGGCCTGAAAGTCGATATTTAACATTGGATCGTTTTTTACTCTTGACTTCTTCAACCAGCCCACATGTACCCCACGAGCATGTCTTGAGTTCTGGCCTTGCTGTCATCACAAAGGCAGGATGTACAGAGCCATATATGGACAGCGTAGAGCAACGCCGCTATAGCCCGCACTGCTCCATTTTCAGAATAGACGGGCAGAAAAGACGTGATTTCAACGTTCATTTTGGAACTAGTTCTCTTTGAAAAATAGTAATAACAGTTTGTATTTTAAAATATCAAATTTTTATCAGACAAAGGTCGTGGCAGCTGTCATCTAGCATCCAAATGTTGGCTGAGTTAACACCATTTTTGGTGAAAATTTTCAGTTAAAAATGTGTCAAAGGGATTGCTCAACTAGCAAGACACCAGACTTAAGCCGGGCGTACACTGTGCGACTTTTTCACTCGTAACACTCAGCTTCAGCTCAAACTGTGCGACTTCCTCGCAGGGCAGATCTCACGAGTCATGCGCTCACACTGCACGACCCAGTTCTCGGATGCGACCTGACTGCTCACACTGTACGTCTGGTAGCAACACGTCGGCCCTGAAAATATGCTAAAAATAGCAGTTTTTACTCAACACGTCAGACTTTTTTGTCTTGTTTTGCCTGTTGTCCTTCGGGAGTGCTGCAGGACGACACACAGGGATTTATGGGGGTTGGATGAGGAAAACGAAATAAAGAAAGTAAATCTGTGTTTTGTGATCAGTTTAATTTGACAAGAACACGACAAACACGCTTTCTTGACAATCTTTGTGAGTAAAAAAAACGTGTAGAAATAAAAACGAACAACGTGTGTTATTAGGGAAATAGCGGGTGAGCGGCGTTGATGCCGGATTGCGCATGCGCCGTGAGCTGTTCTGATACATTTTGGGTCGCAGCTGCTCGCAGCGCCGCTTCAACAGTGCGATACCCTCACGAGGGACGAGCAAAATATTAAACACGCCAGAAGTCCGTGCGAGCTCACGACTGCTGATCGGTAGCTGGTCACGTGGTGTTAATCGCCTCTCGTAACCCCCTGTACACTACACGACGCTCGGCGCAAAACTCGCCCCGATCTCGTGGATTCTCGCACGACTGGAAAATCGGCTCAAAAAAGTGAAAAAGTCGCACAGTGTATGCCCGGCTTTACACTGGTTTGAATCCAGGCCGGGGTATCAGATTGTCGTTTGGAGAGTTTCTATTTTTACAGTAATGATTTTTTTAATAGTAAGAAGACGCCCAAAAATTTTAACCGTCCAGATTTTTAACACGTCCAAATTAGACACGCCGTGAGACATTGAATTCACGGGCAGAAAAGATGTCGGTTCAACTTTCATTTTGGAACTATTTTTCAGCCATGATGGGACGCGTAATTTGGAATTGTAGTACGTCAAAGGAAGGTCCCGTCTTTCTCACCTCTGATTTTTGTAGCGCTATGTTCAGTTTCTTTACAAAACTTCCCAAAACAGCTTTCTGTTGGTGGCGGTGGCAGAAGAACAGTCTGCACTTAGCAAGGGAAGACGCCGGTTTGCTGCTAAATCAAATAGTCAATCGTAGTAGAGCCCTTCTAGCCAATCAGAGGTGAGAAAGACGGGATCTTCTTTGAACATCCTACGATTCCAAATGACACGTCTGGCACAGCCGACATATCACGTGTACTCTCAGGGTCAGAAAAGCACTTTTTAATTTATTTTGCCAATACAAATTATGTTTATGGCCCAAAAGACTAACATGGGTTAGGGTTAGTCCATGGTAGTAACAGGCAATGACTCCTTTAACTACCAAATCTAAAATGCTCATTTTCCTAACTGCTTCATTTTTGAGTACATTGATTTGATCATGTGAGGAGCTCTTCTTCTGTGGTTTTAATTGTATAGTGCCCTCTGCTGGCTAAAATATATTACACCCATGCATGGCAGAAGAACTTGATCTCAGCTGGCAGTTAACCAGGCATAACTATTTTAGCCAGCATTAACGGCAGTTAGTCGGTTAACTATGTACATCCAGGTTTTGTCTAGCGTTTCTACATTTATTTCCACAGTTGGCCCAGATGGCACCAAAAGCCCCAAACCACTGAGAAGCTCCAGTCTTTGGTGCGAAGACGGTTCTGAGACTAGAGATGAAGGTGATTCTGAGCAGGCATCATCCAGCAACAGCTTTCTGACAAATGTCTTTATAACTCACTAGAGACATACGAGCACCGAGACAGAAGGACACAGAGAGACATGTGGACACAGAGAGAGACATGTGGACACAGAGACAGAAGGACACTGAGACATATGAACACAGAGACAGAAGGACACTGAGAGACATGTGGACACAGAGACAGAAGGACACTGAGACATATGAACACAGAGACAGAAGGACACTGAGACATATGAACACAGAGACAGAAGGACACTGAGAGACATATGAACACAGAGACAGAAGGACACTGAGACATATGAACACAGAGACAGAAGGACACTGAGAGACATGTGGACACAGAGACAGAAGGACACTGAGACATATGAACACAGAGACAGAAGGACACTGAGAGACATATGAACACAGAGACAGAAGGACACTGAGACATATGAACACAGAGACAGAAGGACACTGAGAGACATGTGGACACAGAGAGAGACATATGAACACAGAGACAGAAGGACACAGAGAGACATGTGGACACAGAGAGAGACATGTGGACACAGAGACAGAAGGAAACACAGAGACAGAAGGACACACTGAGACATATGAACACAGAGACAGAAGGACACTGAGACATATGAACAGAGACAGAAGGACACACTGAGACATATGAACACAGAGACAGAATGACACTGAGACATATGAACAGAGACAGAAGGACACAGAGAGACATGTGGACACAGAGACAGAAGGACACTGAGACATATGAACACAGAGAGACATGTGGACACAGAGAGAGACATGTGGACACAGAGAGAGACATGTGGACACAGAGACAGAAGGAAACACAGAGACAGAAGGAAACACAGAGACAGAAGGACACACTGAGACATATGAACACAGAGACAGAAGGACACTGAGACATATGAACAGAGACAGTAGGACACAGAGACAGAAGGACACTGAGACATATGAACAGAGACAGAAGGACACAGAGACAGAAGGACACAGAGACAGAAGGACACTGAGACATATGAACACAGAGACAGAAGGACACTGAGACATATGAACAGAGACAGAAGGACACAGAGACAGAAGGACAGAGATAGAAGGACACTGAGACATATGAACAGAGACAGAAGGACACAGAGACAGAAGGACACAGAGACAGAAGGACACAGAGACAGAAGGACACAGAGACAGAAGGACACAGAAACATATGAGCACAGAGACAGAAGGACACAGAGAGACATGTGGACACAGAGACAGAAGGACACACTGAGACATATGAACAGAGACAGAAGGACACAGAGACAGAAGGACACTGAGACATATGAACACAGAGACAGAAGGACACTGAGACATATGAACAGAGATACAAGGACACAGAGACAAAAGGACACAGAAACATATGAACAGAGATAGAAGGACACAGAGACAAAAGGACACAGAAACATATGAACACAGAGACAGAAGGACACAGAGAGACATATGAACAAAGAGAGACGGACACAAAGACAGAAGGAAACACAGAGACAGAAGGACACAGGCATTTGGACACAGACAACAGGACACAGAGACAGAAGGACACCACATGGCTCCTACAACTCAGAACCTTCTTGTATTAAACTGAATGCGTTAACGAATAAATAGTCCAAAATGAAGCCTGGTTCATTGATCTCATCAGACTAAGTCATCCTGAAGTTTCTTTCATCATCATCAGGATGAAGCTCAGCATCACTGTCCAGCAGCAGCAATTTGGGTCTAACCTACCAAAGATGTACAGAGCAGGACTGTCAAATTGTGTGTGTGTGTGCGTGCGTGCGTGTGTGCGTGCGTGCGTGTGTGTGGTGGCAAACATTAAGGTGGAAAAAGGAAAGGGAAGACAAATCAGAGTAGCGTTTTAGATGTTCAAAGTGGTTAAGAAGGATGAGGACCAGGGTTGGGGTTTGAGGGTTGGGAATTGTCCTTGGGTTGGACATGGACTCACAGGAAATTCATGGAACCGATCGGTGAGGCTGGTCCACCAAAACCACTGATGGGTGATTCTCTGAATTTGGTGCCCCTTGTGTCCCACAGGTTTACCACAAAGATTTTCATTTAAAGTAAATCACAAAAAAAATAATTTGAAACAAGAAATTGAAAGGTCTATGTTCCTTTGCATTATGACACACAGACAAAATGTAAAAATTATATTTTAAAGTTTATTTTTTGTCTTGCCAAAGAGTAGAAATCAGCCAAAAGAGCTGCAAAAAGTTCTGGTCACTGTCTAATTACATTTACATTATGCTCACTGGAAAAGCTATAAGTCATAAAACTTTCCAATAGAGCTCCGGACCCCACGTGACTCTCAGTTAGTAGACGCCATATTGGCAGGTAAAAAAAGCTAAACAAACACGGATGTAAACATGAACGTGAACGGGATCGGCTTGGATTCTACTTCGGAGTTTACTTCACACTTTAAAACCGAAGAAATCGTTTTATATAGCCAGAAATTAAATAGACTAAACATCTCCGACCCTTACCGTGCCCCTGGGATACTTTTTAAAAACGCCAGAAGCTGTCGGAGCGGACTTCTTACCGGACCTGGCCGGGGAACCCCTTGGGATTTACCCAGAGGAGCTGGCTCAGGCGGCTGGGGAGAGCGAAGTCTGGGCCTCTCAACGCTACATGCCCCCGCAACCCGACTCCGGATACGCGGATGAAAATGGATGAATGGACAAATAACAGATTTACACGTAAGTAGTTTAAATAGAGTGCTGTGCTGTTTGAATGTATAAACTGAACGCCAAGAGAAATCACTAGTTTGATTGTTTTCCGTGAATAAAATAAAAATGTCAGACAGGAGCGTCTCAGGATCTGTCTGAGATCTGTCTCGGTGAGACAGATAATAACAATCCAAAGTGCTTTTTATGTGTGATCTGGCAATTGATCAACCATTGCTTAAAAATGAAATACAGCTTAGCCGGTTAATTGCTGTGATCATAAAACACGTAAACGGCAGCACGCGGAAATCACAAGGCAACGTTTTACGTGATGTTTACTTGTTCTACGAGTAATAAGACAGAAAAAGCCACGCCAAAATAAGTTTAGGAAGCCCACTAAGAATCGTAATAAAAGCATTTAAAATAAATACCATACACAGTTGAGGAAACGTTGGTTTAAGTACCTGATATGAAGTGGTCGCTGCATAAGCGAAATCCTTTACTCTCGGGATTCCACAGTTTCATTTTAGCCCAGTCACTAGTGCGTTTTATTACAATGATCCAACGCTTGCGGCACTCCGGATCTTGGGGAATCCTGTAGATGGCTCATTCCTTATGTCGTCCGCGTCTGTTCTGCATCCTGGGGCACAACAGGAATCTACCATATTTCCTGTCTGATTGAGTTTTCTGACAATATCAAATAGTCCAGCTGCTGGCTTCTACCTGTCAAGATGGTGCCGTTTCGATTTGAACTGTTGCATGCCGGGAGACGTGACGTCAACTCCCGGAGCTCTATATGGTGCTCCATATGCTAGCTAATGCTGGCTTATGATTACTTTTAGCTAAAATGTTCAGCCCCGTAACAAAAATCGTACAAGGTTGAGTCAATGATTTAAGTTTAATTCAAGTTTATTTATATAGCGCCAAATCACGACAAGAGTCGTCTCAAGTCACTTCACATAATGAACATTCCAATACAGGTCAGTTCATTGAGCCAATCAGAAATAATGTTTCCTATATAAGGAACCCAGCAGGGTGCATCGAGTCACTGACTAGTGTCAGAGTCTTTACAGCAATCCTCATACTAAGCAAGCATGCAGCGACAGTGGAGAGGAAAACTCCCTTTCAACAAAAAGAAACCTCCGGAGGATTGTGGCTCAGTATAAGCAGCCATCCACCACGACCCACTGGGGATGGAGAAGACAGCACACACATACGCACACGCACACACACAAAGTAGTGTTTCTATGGTTACATTGTGATTTCTATGTATGTGCACACACACACAAAGTAGTGTTTCTATGGTTACATTGTGATTTCTATGTATGTCGATGTGATTTCTTAGTAAATATTCTGTTTGGTGAGAGATAGCCTTTATGGTATTTATCCTAGTGAATCTATAACTAAATGGGTAAACTAGTAGTAGCACATTTGATGTCAAAGAAAGTAAAATGTTATCAGGAGAGGGAGAATGATTAAATGGTTAGCAACAGTGTTCAAGACGATAGTCCCCTCCATGAGGCTACCACAGCTCAGCAGAACATCATTATAGCTTCTTCTGGGGGAAAACGCTTAGAGAAAAAATGAAGTTAACAGTTAAAATAGCAGGAAATAATACAGTTAAAGACCAGATTGTAGAAGAAAGTAGTCGAGTGTGGAAAGTGGTCAGAATGTCCTCCAGCAGTCTAAGCCTATAGCAGCATAACTACAGAGATAACTCTGGATAATCTAGCCCAGGGATTCCCAAAGTGTGGTGCGTGCACCCCTGGGGGTGCGCGAGCTGCCGCTAGAGGGTGCGCGAGGTGAAAAGTGTAATGGCTGCGGAGCTCAGAGAAGTCTGTCATATGTCACTATTATTGTAGAAACTCATTTGTGGGTGGGCCAAAGAAAAAGTAAGTGGGCACAATAAATGTAATTGAAAACAAGTATATTTTTGCGCGCGCGCGCGCGTGTCCTCCACATGTGCCCTAGATTCATAATAACAATGCCCCGAGCTTCAGCACTCTGGCCTGCGCACGCCGATATGTTCCGTATTTGATCATTTTTAACGGTGTTATTCCCATTCAGGGTATTGACAGCGCGCTGAAGATCTGAAGTTCAGAGTGCTTCTGTCAGAAGTCAGACGCATTCCAGCAGAACCACGGCTCACGGGTGCACAAGTGAGCACATCTGGGCTGGGCAGAAGTTTAAATAGCGCCATTAACGAGACGCGGTGACTTGAGCGGCTGTGCCGCGCGCGCGCGCGCACACACACACAGATTCAATAAGCGCGCACGCTGCTTTAACTCCG